ACCTTCCTTATGATTCTAAATAAATACTCAGAGAAGCATGGCTTGGGGCCTTCAGTCATGGGAACTGTTGGCCCCCTGTTTTTCACACTCTCTGTTCTATATCATTCCTGATAGTCTGTCTCATTATTAATAATTATAAAATTATTTCATTCTTTGGGACCCTCGGTCTGCAACAGTGTATATCTGAGGTGTGTGTATAGGTGTGGAGTTTCGGGGGGTGTGTAGGTTTATGTGAAGTGTCTGTGGATGCACGTGGCATCTGTCAGTGTCTGTGGCTGTGTGGGGTGTTCTGTGGGTGCATGTGGGTACCTTTGGGTGTGTGTGGGGTGTCCTTGGGAGCATGTGGGTACCTCTGGGTGCTTGTGAGTACACAAGGGGTTCTCGTGGGGTGTGATAAACACTGAACTTATTTACCCCCCAGCTCTCAGGCAGGCTCACACAGGGCTGTCCCCGAGGCCTTGACCTCATTTCTTCACTGAACCCTCAGGATTGCTATTCTGTTCTCTCCCCTGGGGGCCAGGAAGGCCACACCTGGAAGGGCGTCTTCTGAGGCACAGCTGGAGCCTCTAACACAGACAGATGCTCTGGAGGCTTTGGGGTTGCTCTGGCCAGGGCAGGATGTCCACGGGTGCAGGGGGTGCCCGGACTCTGCTGGGCCTTTGAAGATAGCAGCCCTGGCCTGGACCTCCTCGTCCTGCTTGATTCTGCACGTAGCTCAGAAGCCCCACCTCAAGCCGCCAGTTTTTCCAGGCCTGGATGGATGCCAAGCCTGGAGCCTTGCCACTGACCGCCTGAAGCCCTCATCAGTGCAGCCCAGGGCCTCTGTCTTCCACCTTTGCCCCCCCTCGCTCCCACGAGTCCACAGCTTTGCCCAAACCAGAACGGGCAGAGCCCTGGTTCACCTCCAGAGCATGCTGACCCCTCCCCAGGAACCATGCCACCCTGGCTCTATGCTAGGACATGAGTTGAGGCAGGTCACACCATCGCAGTGGCTTTCATCCGTGATGGCTGCCACCACTTCCATCTAGTTCTAAAACATTCCGTCACCCCAACAGGAAGCCCCCAAGCCCTGCCTGCCCACCAGCTCACCTGCCTGGGACTGCAGAGGGTCCTGCACCCTGGGGGTCTGTGTCCTCAGTGAGGACCATGCTCAGGGCCCATCCATGCTGTGGCCAGCTTGCTCCCTGCGCATGGCTGCCCAGCACTCGCTGGTGGAAGCCAGCTTTGTGCTCAGCTGTTCATCTGTGAGACCTGGGAGGGCTGGCACCGGCTGGCCCGACCCCAGAAAAGCTCTGTCCGCTTGGCTGGGCCTATCCTCGGTGGCTCCCTGTTGCATAACGCTGTAATCAGGCAGTTACATAAGGGAATGATGACCCCCAGTGGGCCGTGTGCTGACTCCACATGCTGCTGTGAGGGGCTGGGGTGGGCGTGGACCTCAGCAGGGAGCTGCCTGGTCCCCATGACCTCAGGGGTGGCGGGCAAGAGAACAGAAAGGGGCAAAGAGGAGGAGGACTGGCTCCTAGCTTTTGTGGGAGTCCCTGCATGCTAACAAGGTCAGAGGAGGGGTGCCCACACACTGCTCCCAAAATGGCTGGGGGTGCCCAACGGCTTCCACCAGAGCTGGCAAGAAAGCCTGGAGCCTCAACTAAAGAAAGGATTTGTAGGGGCCTGTAGACATGGGCTCACGGGCAGCTTGTCATCTCTGGCTTTGGGATTGGCATCATGATGCCAGAATCACTGATGCTTTTGGAAATGACAGGAGCTTAGAGATATATCCAGCTTTGCGAGGCTCTCCAGTTATTAACTGCAAGTCATCACAAAGTTGTTTACCAGTGTGAGTTCAAAACACAAGCCACAGATGCGGAGAAGTGTACACAATCATACTGTTGACTTTGAAAGGCCTACTCTAGTTAATCTTGTAAACAAAGCATTTAAACGTGAACACTCCCAACTAATCTTAAAGGTGAGACTGACATGGATTGAACAAAGTTACCCCAAAATATGCATATGTAATGAGGAAGCCAGTGTTCTCTGTGATCTGATGAAACAAATCAGAGGAACTCGATTAAGGGTGGAATGTCAAACGCAGTGCTGTCCCAGCTCTAATTAATTGGATGTAGGGGGAGTTTTCTTATGATGTGGGCTCTGCGATGGCCTAGCGGTAGGAGCTGGGCTGTCAACCTAAAAGCAAAGTGGTTCGACTGTCAGTGTTCTTGCTGGGTGTCATGGAGTCGCCCTAGGATTCACAGCAACTTGGCCCATCCACTGGATCCAGTGCCATCAGCGGCTCCAGCCCATTGCTTCCGTTACTGGTTCTCGTTCTGGGCCTCCCCCTCTTTCTCTGGTGTCCGTCTTTCCTAGCAGATATCGTCCAAAGTACCAGCCGCTCCGGCAAGCGGCCAAGCACCGCGCAGGCCCGTCCCATTCCTAGACACACCTGGGAGGAGGCCGGGGGCGTGGCTCGCAGAAGTCACGTGGTGGTGGTGTCGGTAGCGCGCACGGATTTCCTGCGTGAGGGCGCGTGCGCGGACCGGCCTCGAACCCTGCGTGCTCGCCCGGACCCCGCCCTGCGTGCCCTGCGTGCGCGCGCCCGCCGCCGGCCGGTTCTTATTGCGGCCGCGGACGCCGCCGCGGCGGTTGGCTGTGATTCCCACGGCGGAGAGGAGACATGGCGGCGGTGCTGCTCGTGGTGCTGGCGGCCGCGCTGCTGGGCGTCGACGGCGCCTCGGGGGCCGGTGAGGACCGGGCGGGGTCTGGGCGCCTGGAGGGCCGGGATCGCCGCAGCGGAGGCGGCAATCAGACTCGGGCCCCAAGGCTCCTGGGGACCCTGTGAGCCTGTGAAACCCCAAGGGCGGGGGTCGGGGCTGGAGGGGGTCAGTCC